ATCAGATATGAAACCTAATCTAAAGTACCAATACGGTTCCTACTGTTGGCGGACCTGCAACTAGAAGCTAAAAAATCAAAGGGATTTTACGTTTGTAAGGATAAGACCGACAGACGAAGAAAGCTTCTTTTCATTAGTTAATTTGCCGTCCCTTGTAACATTGGGAACACCGGTGAGTAGCAGACATAACCTTTGAAAATTAAATCAGTTTTTATCGTGTATCAAGTGCTTTATATTTTGCCTAACTAGCTTTGCTAGAAGTATTACGATTTTCTTCAGTTTCCTCATATGACTAAGTACCAGTAGGTGTTTAACGAACTAAAAGAAACTGTATTTTTGTCATATAGATGTTACTTCATCGTACCTTCACGTACTTCATCGTAGAAGTAACATCTAATGACTAACTTTTGTAGCTGGTCCCCTTCTTTAATCGGCATCCAATTTATAATAATATGTTCATTTGAGCTAAATCGAAAGCGGATCAATCTTTTTTACGGAAAAATATATCAAGTATTCGGCCGCGTTCTGTTGTGATGATCAATCGAGATCTCAGCTACAAAATATTAATTAGCTGATTTTACATTGAAGTTCCGCGAGAAACATTAATGATTGTGTCTATTTAATCGAAATTTACAAAACGGGTATTAGTTCTAAGAAACGGAAGATCGTCAAAAAGTTTCATTACGTTCAACTCGGCCGTTCAACTCGGCCAACAATCTATTTTTACTGGATTAGAAAGCGCCAAATCTCTATTTTCTTAATCAGGCCATTATAAATCGTGGATTTATTATAGGCTTATTTAATTAGTTTATCCATCTGTCACCTAATTAATTTTTGCAGGCCGATATTTATTTACACTTTAGGTATATACTGAACTAGTGTTATGGAATCAATGAGCACATTGTAAAAGCTACGAAAATAATCTTAAAAACCCCGGCATCACGTAAAAAGATTCGAGGTAATGCACTCCGTACATTTGATAATATACTATACAGTCATATATGAGTTTATATTGTGTATGTATATATGTGTGTATATATATACCTATAAGAAGTATGTATGTATACAATACCTGAGGTCTGTTTGTTCAATAGCAATTCAGTTGTAAAGCCGGTTTTGCACGCTGCTCGAATACCTTGACCGCGTGGGAGGAAATGGAAGACGTTGGGCAAGGGGAAAGCCTCAGTGATGACGTGCATAGAAAGGATCGCTCGAGTTGTGTTCTCCTATATACCTTTGTTGCGTTCCACTCCTTTATTCTCCTGTCGGCTACGAAGAGCTTCTCACTTTGACCGTCGGCCATCGAGACCGAATCGGAGAAAAGGGAGGTAAAGCAATTTCTACATAGGCCTTCTTGTGCTCCGTTCCGGTTCCTGCACGTTCGTTGGTTTGTGTGTGCGCTACTAGCTTACTTGCGTGCTTACTTACGCAAGCAACGGAGAACGATGTTGCCGTGCCGTTTCTTGAGCCGATATAGCTAGCTACAGACAAAAACGTGAGCGAAGTTGCCAGCGGTTTGGCCAATGGGCTCGGGTCAAAACTTCAATAGCGCTTCGGCCGTTGTCGCCACAGTCTAAGCAAGTGACTGGAGTGGTTTTCTGTTTGTACTCCTAAAATGGCCTTGCGCGATGCGTTACGATGCTGGTGGGCCGCTATCATCACTACTGTTGCTGATGCCGCTGCGATATTGTTGATACGGGGGTACTATAACAACGATGACAGATACTGTGTACACCGGTGCCACTTAGGCACTATGTTACTTGTTTTGATTTGTGTCTTGCTATGGTTGGTTGGTTGCTAGCGTTTACGTGTATGTATGAGTTTGTGGACGACTTTGTGCGTCGCTTCGTGTGCACGCTGGAAAAAAAGGGCTATATTGGGAGATAAGGGACGAGTGAGGTCGCAAACGTCGGTAACAGAGCAGGCAAGATCGTCTGAAAAACCAATCAACCAGTCAGTAAGTTGATAGCTAAAAAGCCACAAGCAAACCGAGGAAGCCAAATCATCAAATTGCTCTCATCGCTGATATGAAACGATGACGGCGGCCATCTCAAAGGGAACGGATGATTCTTTTGCTCCTTTGCGTGAAGGTTGGGTGGGAATAAAGAAGTCATAGAAGCGGTCAAAAGGGAGATCTATTCGTCGGAGGTCGAGAGCGTATAATTGAAGTTAACGTTGCAGCAGGAGCGCGTAACCTTGCGCCTTTACGATCCGTCCGGCCCAGTAATTCTAAACCTATATCCAATTAGAACAGCAGAAAGATGCGGTCAGACTAAGCTGATGGGGATGGCATGCTTGCTTAGTACTTCAGTTGAAACTGTGCGTTTTACGTTAATTAGACATGTACATGTATAAAACGAGTGCATATGTTTTATAGCGAATATGGCCGTACAAAAAACGTTCTGGTACGACAACCTGACACGGATAATTCTATAACGTAAAACATTTTTTAAACGTAATAGTTTCTTTCTAGCTTTAGAAAAGACCTCCTCGGCAGCATAAATTGACAAATTAGTTACAACAGAATAGTACTTTGTACTGTGTGAACTTCCAAATAGCCGGATACAGGGTCACGTATAGGTGGGAGGTTCTGTTACACAGACTTTAAACTATTACTAATAGCTATTTGGTAAAGATAGCTATTTAGATTTTTTAGGTGTTCTGAAAAAGAGTAACAATAACAAGAAGTCAGAACAGTAAAGCTCGATGTTAAACTAAGAACAATAACTTGGAATAGGAAACGCTGTTTTTGAATCCCATGTCGAATCATCTACGCTCTCTGAACTGTTGAAAGCATGTAAGAAAAGCATTATATTATAATTAGCAAACATGGCACTTGGCACGGTGCAAAACTGAATGATCATTATTATTAAAATCTACCCTTTGACGTCACTTATTGCAAACATGCAGGTGCGGTGTTCCTCTCGAGTGGCACGACCTGTATTATCAGACCTTTTCAAATAAGCTTTGAATCGTTTCTAAGGAAGGAACTGTGGATGTGCAGACAAAGACTGACGTGTAGCGTACTTGCTTACCACTGTGGAATCTACACCCACAGGCGTCGACAACTTGGGCCGCTCTCTGGAACTACTTGGGTAATTTTGGTGAAGCTATATCATGCTACACTGTATATCTTACCACACAGAGTTTCAGAAATATGCTTCCTTCCAAGATAACGATTCTCGAGCTCGGCCAAATGGGCCTAGGAGTACCTAAATGACTAGATAAGCGGCAGAAATGCATCAAATTAGTTTACGCGATTGATAATCATGTCAGGACGCAAGTCAAGTTCGTAAGCAGTGAAACATACTCCTTGTTACTTCGCGTAGTTGTGAAGCGAAACAGGTTTATTAGCAGCAACCCCGTTAATAGCAGTTTGTTATAGTACGAAACCTTTCGAAGTTGCACAGTCGTAGCGAGGAGTGAAGAAAAACAGTACATACAATGATTCTACCAGGATTAAAATTATAGTATCAGTCAGAAAATAAGCATGTTTCGTCAGCTTAGCTGAGACATACTATTTTGAATAAAAAAGGACAAATGATGACATTGGAGGAAAACCCATATACATCGTGTTTTTTTCTATATACATATATATATATATATGTGTGTGTGTGTGTGTGTGTGTGCGTGTACATGGATTGAGATCCCTGGGAAGGGTCAATGCTTATGGAGCCTATTTGGTCTTAGAATAATACTAGTCCACTTGTACGTCTTTTTAAAGGCATCAGTGTTACTTCTGGTAAATGACGCATCCATAAACGGAATAAAATAGAAAGAACGAACAAGCGTCTCAATTGGGATAGCAGAAAACGTAGGGGAGTCAGAGCACAAATGACTACTATTTTTTCCGAAGTTGTTTTTGACAGATGAAATCTAGTTTGTGTACCCACTGCTGTATTTTTTCATTTTAAGCCCACACTGTCGAAAATAGTATTCAGTACTAGAATTACTAACGCATTTTTTAATGGATGACAAGTTGAGCAAAGATGATTAACTTGTATCTGCGAAGAGATTGATTGTAAAATTAGATATTTTGTCAGGCCCATTTCTATCTAATAAGAACTACCTCACACAAAAGTCTTTGTAGCTTTTCCGTTAGATCTGACACCTGGAGTAGAAACATGTATAATGTAACGATACATGCTATATCCGTGAACCATAGTTAAGCCGAAAATAATCTATATTTACCAAATAATTTTGCCCTCGAGAAATTTGCCACAGCAAGTGGCAACCCTTTGTCAAGTAAACTTTTCGCGAACCTGGCAAGCCGTCCTTTCAATCCTTGCTATATTTTGTGCAGCGAAGTTGGGCTAGAGGCTACAGGCCAATTTTTTCCGTAACGATAACCTATTTCTATTTACGAAAAATTTAAAGGGGTTCTAAAAGGGGCGAAAATGTCTTCATTATGTGTATGTCACGACGGAATATGCAAGTCTGGTTCAAGCAAGTCTATAAATCAACGGTTCGACCCTTATCGGAAATGACAACAACTCTATTTTTAGTTTTTCAGTCCTATTTTTTTTTTACTAGAACTATATGACAAGCGAGCTTGATATTATTTTACCCGGATCTTACTTCAGATTATTATGCTACGTCTCTGAAACTTGCGAAGGTAATTTTCATTTTCGACATCTATTAAATTTCATAGTTATTGAAACTACCTATTTTTATAGGAGTGTATTTTACAGGATAACTGATTATATTATTTCACAGTTGTATTATTTACAAATGGTACAGCGTTCAGACAATAAAACTCAGCGATGTATCTAATAAAGGACTCTAAAATAAACAAACGTGTTTAAAGATGATTGAACATACTAAGATGTAGTCAGAATAAGTCAGTCTTAAATTGGGCTTCTTTCCACGACTCAGAATGTGAATTATAAACGGAGCCTATTATTATTAAGATGAGAAAAAACTACGACACAAAACACAGCACTGCATTTAGGTTCTGGTAATAAATAAATTTATTGTGCTTTCGTCATCGTTTTCCCCTACCATCTCCCATACCACAATTCATTTACTTATTTTATCGCGGCAACACATTTCAGGCCTTTTTCTTTTAACTAGACAGATGTATAAAGGAGTGCATGAGCCGAACACCTGTTTAGATATTGCAATTATTTCTTTTGTTTATATTGGATACTCTGTTATTATGAATACAGCCAATATAGATTTAAACCAAAGTTATTCATTCAAGTGAATTGGGTAAGACAACTTCAGAATAAATAATACGTAATTTTTTTTTCTGTTTGACTGTTTCCAGCTGCACAAAACAGGCACCCCTTTTACGGGGTCGGTCAATAATGATAAGTTTCCCCATGAAACCGAATAAAGATTATTAATTATATTATGAGTTTTTTTAGACATGTCCCTAAATTTTATAAGCGTTATACATGTCTTGTGTTATTATTTGCGGTGGCCTAGATTAAGCTCCCCACGCGACTGTTGGCAACAGAGGCACTGGCGTGGGGGCTAGTTGTGGACAACTGTTATGCCAATAGCGCAGCTGAGATCTACAGGAGAACAAAAGTTGAAGTGCCGAACTCAATGAAGCGGTCCACATGAAATGAAAGGACCCGTTAAAGGACCATGCCGTGCTCGCATTGCGTGAGAAGCTCTCTAATATTCTCCACGCCTGAACAAGTAGGATACATGCACTGGTCGATCGGTTTCATTGGCAGGATTTACTTCTCATGTCTCAAAAGTAACACCTCCGAAGAGGCAGCAGGATGAGTTTTAAGTCGAAAACTTATACCGGACGAAATACACCAACAAGGGAATAAGAGGCGTGATTTTAGAAGCTTGATGAACCAAATACAGAGCCCCCTTTTCCTTAAAGCAACCGGTTCGAGCGGCTACTGTTTGGTCCCTTGTTTCGGCACAAAATCAGCTCAAGTCTACAAGTTTACGAGAGAAAACACATGAACGTGCGTCGTGTGTATGTCTGCTCGTCGTTTATGGACCTGTATGTCGTTTGCTTTTGTGGCTGCCGATCTTCTACTCAGTCGTATTTCATTTTTAAAATACCAGATCCTATCCTATCTTTAATAGAGATAGATAAACAGGGGTCTTCTTCATTCTTTCATTCATTCATTCATTCTTTCTTCAGACTTACGTTCTGTCTAAACAACTGAAAACGGACTGGCAAATTTTCTCTATTGGGCTGCATAGACATCCACTATGCTATCGATTTCTCTGGGCAGAAGACGTTCTATATACCTTACTTTGATAATTTAACCGTAGCACACTGATAATGATCGTATGTTGATTTGCTACTAGTCACTGCTAATATTAGAATATCCGAGCTGAATAACTGCATTTAATATCAGGACCGCTTTTTTGTTTGCAGTGTTTAAGCAGAGCTATTTGCATCTGTTATTTCTCATGCACATAATCACCATTGTCCACGTTTACATGCACATGAAGAGACGGATATCATAAGTCGATGCAATTTCTAAAGATTAAGATCACAAAAAGGTACAATGCAGACTATAAAAAGTAAGACTCGTTTTTTTTTCATTTCTCCGAGCACAGCACAGCACAGTCTTCCTCAAACCGCGAAGGGCTGCTACCGCTGCCGAGGAGGCTCTAGTTAAAATCATGACCGAGCTCTTCTGTAATATCATATAATATCAATTAGCATTCAGTTTTAAAAATAATACCCTAACTGTGGCCTAAATAAACCATTTTGGAAAAGTAAATTACTGTGCCAAAATGTAATAGCAATCTTAGTTTTAAATCCCGAAATATTCAAGAACTAGAATGTAACTACTAAACCCTATACACAACCATCATTTGCCCAGGGGTATTACTTCACTAAAAAGCTACGCAATGTTATCTGCTGACAATATTATAGAGGAAACTGCGCACGACCCCATCGCTTAAGTAAGGGAAGTATGTAGGAACTGTTTCTAATTAACTATTCTATCGTCGCCATTGTCTACTGCACCAAACACATACACAAACAGTGCCCCCTGGTAGACTAATACGCATATCATACTTCAGAACTCTGTCAATTTAACTGTTATGTACAGCTTAGTCCAATTCATTGTAACCTTTCATTATGCCCCTCTTTTAACATCCTTTGGGTTCCCTCATCCCGAGGGGTACTCTAATTGGCAGCGCACTCACTGGCCAGTTTGTATGGAAAACGCGGGGGCTGTCGGACTGCTATTGGGCCCATCTTCTGCTGCTAACCTTGCTGCTTTTGGCACAGTAGCTTTATCTTTTCCCAATTCTCTTTCAACAGTAAAAAAAATTTAAGCAACTATATCTATTTTATTAAAAGCATATTTAGCTTTCTATATTTCAATATACACTCGACCCCTTATGGTCGGTTCTTTACTCTATAACGCCTATCATATTCTGTTCTCAGCCAACGGCCTTGGGTGCGTCACAAAGTAACAATTTGTAAAACGAATTTGAAGATTATATTCAAGGATATTTAGCAGATAGCTACAGTAAGATATACTTAGTAATCTACGCACACCAGGACGCTAAAATTCAGCGCAAAGCAATACCATAGTAATAATACATTTTAATAAAAGTTACGAATTATATCGTACGAAGATCACCTCACTCTTCCAGTCCGGACCGTTATTTTATATGAAGAATTATAAGGTAATGCTACTATTTATCTTTACAAGCTTTTCTAGATCGATCTGGCGAGCATATTAAACTTGTATATGTTCAGCGTTTCACATATTTTTAGAAGCACATTAAGTGTCCTATTTTCGACAATTGTTATGCCATCCAAAGTATGAAACGAATAGGCCTATCAGTTTTTCTAGACATAAAAAACATGCACATAAGCTTGTTTTCTAAATGAAGCAACAACACAAAGTTTCGCTGTACGCCCTTCGTTGGCCCTCGACAAAATGATTCGGGGGTGCACCAGTGGCGTCGGTACGACTATATCCCCCTTGACGCCTTCCCGTACAGAGATAACGATACTCTGCAGCTACGAGGAAGCTTGTCTGCATAGGAGTCAGACGTAGTCCCAAGTTTATCGCCGGATAGTGTTTTTTGTGTACTAACTGATTGTAATAAATAACCGAAGAGTAACTGGGTTGCAATGATCTGGACCAAACGTTTTTAAGCCGAACACTTCTTTAACTTACGGTAGCGATAGAACGATTGTTACTACCTTGATTCTTTCTGTTATGTGCTAGCTGAATCGTAGAGCGGAATTTCCAAAGCAGCTTAGGTAAGAAATTCCTTATCCTCGCTGCCTGTGACCATGGACCTATAGGAATTACTACTATTAGCGGTAGAGGTTGGTGTTTATTTTTCGAGAGTTATTTAGGCTCTACTAAAGTGTATTTGAAATACTTCCATTGTTTTTCACTAATGTATGTGTATTCCCGATGAGACTTCTATCAGAGTTATTATTGGAAAACACCATCATGCTGTATGACATCACATATATAAGGACCCTTCAGCAGTGTATATCGAAAGCGAAGAAGGCAAGCTGATGCGTTTCTATAGGAGACAGGAGATAAGCTACGTCTAATGTCTGTCTTATAAAAAGAAAAAAAGGATGGAAAGCTTATAAGCAAAGCTAGTAAAACATTTTTTTATCACTCTGGATTCTGTGCAACGCTGAGTGCCTGTAGTCTGCGGTCAACGCTGGGCAGGACTAAAAACTTGTCAGGTTAGCTTGGAGTCGGCCTTCGAAGGGGGGGGGGGGGTTTACTTTTATGTATTATGGGGAATCTTCGATTGTAAAACAGATGGCTTTGTTTTTTGAAAATTAGACCTCCCGCATCGGATGAATGACTGTTAGCCATGGCAACCCTGAGCTACAACAAGAAATAATTGGCCTTTTAATAGCTCTTTTGTATGCAGAGGCACTCAAAAAATATGTACTTCCTCAAATCTAATCAGATCTAGTATGGTGAGTGTCGAGGATGCGATTTGCGTGGACCCATGGTTACGAACCAGAGAGAGCACATAACAGATTTTATAGTAGCGCGAGTAATTGGCAGATCCTTCACTGTGACAAAGCTTGCGGCTTTTATTGCAAAGTGACTAGGTACTTTGTCATCACTGGTAAGTAATACAGGCGTCATAGAGGACAGAGAAAAACTCAAAATATCGTTTATGGATAGAGGAGCATTAATTTTAAGCTAATCGTATGTACTGCTTAGTGTACTCTTAAAAAATCTGATCCAGCATACGTATATATATATATATATATCGATTCTTGGAGTAACGGCAACTACTTTTAGCTTTCATTTTAAAGAAAAGTACAGAAAATAGTACATTTCTGTGTGAAGTATTGCGCAACGCCCGTGCATCATTAAACATACTGTAACAAAACGTATATGTATATATTTTAAAATTAATGCGATTGGTTGGAGAGGCCGCTCAGTGCAACGTATGGCACCTGAGGTATATTCCACTATCGACAGTAGTTGTGTCTTCTAAACGCAATATACTACATAGGACGTGGTGAAAGCCATTATTGAAGAAAAAAAAAAAAAAAAAAAAAAAAAAACAGGATCAATTTCAGCCATCTTCCTCTTCCATGTACTCATAAACCCTAAGAAACGGGGGATAATGGGAATTTTAAATATGCACCTTGGATAAATTACAAATAACGGTGTGTTACCTAGAAGGCACATGTATCTATTAAACGATCTGATAAACAATCGCGCGTTTTTAAGGAATGAAGATATTTAATTCGATCGAATTTTTCGAGTTACACCGACTACCTGAACTCGATAGAAAGCCGCGAAGGCCACCCTCATGTCGAGCAGAACCAACATCGTTTGTAAGGGTGGTCTGGAAGCAGTTTGTGTACTCGCATCTTCCATCATCGGTCGTCGTGCTTCGTTCGTTATGCGCTTTACAAAGACCAGGTTATGAGCAGGAAAAATCATACTCGGTCAATAGCTAAAGCTGGTTGGATGCATCAAGGTCTTTCTGCGTACATGAGATGTATTGGTAGCACAGAGATGGTTTTAGCGGCAAACTTTCCTTGCTGATTACCGGTTTCAACTTATTAATGAGCTTTGAAAGAGCCTGGACATAAAAGCAACTCCGTCCAAATATGATAAGATTGTCGGAATGAAACAGCGTTTTTACGTGTCCTGCTGGATCTGAACCCGAAGAAAACGCCAGCAAAAGAGAAATGCAGTGGACTCAGGTTCTCACGCTATGCTACGTCAGTGAACCGGACGAACAGTTTAAGCAAGGCCACTTTATCACCCGTATTAATCGAATCCCTTGTGATCAGATGCAACACGTTCTGGGGAACTCTAGATTGTGCAAGCCTGACTAAAATTATGTCTCAGGCGCCATATCAATGGCGATTTAAAACCAACGAACACGACCTAAAACACCTGTTTTGGTCGACGACAGAGACACCCTTCTACGCGAATCCGTGGTGTTCAGCGGGAATATGTAAACGAGCTTCCTGAAGCCTCGGCAGACATCGTATAATCAAATAGGCAAAAAGTTGTACGAGTAACTGCTCACCTATTAATAAGCGTCAGCTTGATACCATATATATATATATATATATATATATAGATGTACATGAGTGTTACATGAGCTTTTTCTGTAAGCAGGCCTCGATTTAGTTCCGCGCGGCTACAGTGATAAACATTTGCATACATTCTCATACATTCGCAGATTAGCGGACAGTGCTTTTATATGCGTTGTGCCCTCAGATCGTACCAACTGAGTAGTCTCTCAGAATAGCGACTTCCTCTGAACTAAATCTTACTAGACGACTTGCAAATAGATTTCAACAGTGCTCTTAAATACTTGCTACAATATAACCCGATCAAAATTTCTGTATACTAAAAGCGGCTTTATACACCGGTTCATTAACTCTTATGTCTAAAAAAATGGGGTGAAGTGATGTTAAAGCTAAACTAGTATGGTAATTCTATCTGAACTATTCTCAAAGCTTTACTTTGAGCAGACTTACTGAACAGATAGGTGCATTGCATCCTGTTGGTTGACTGGCTACGCTTTATTCTGCTCAGGTTCAGCTAGGTTAGCTGGAAGCGGCAGGTGAAGATTTGCTATTGAGAGGTGAATACGAACAAGGCGCGGTATGAGAAGCTAGTTAGAATGAGGATAAAAAGGATACTAAAGGAATCGGCACTAATAGGTTTCCACCAGAGGTGAGGAATGTCAATCACATCAAATTTTCAACAGGTTAGAAGCAACATACCAACAGGATCTTTCACCAGTTTAATTTAAGGTGAAAGGAAAGCCATCGCTCGTTCCTGGAACATTCCGAAGGCATTGTACGTACGGCTTCTGAAATTAATTAAAAAACCTTTAGCTCGTGCATTGCTCAAATGATGTTCGGTTTGTTTAGATCTACTAAGGAAAGATCATGAATGAATGGATGAACTGCGGTGCCCGTTTCTGCTGCTACTATATCAGGTGATCCGATTCACACAAGGCAAATTACATTGTGTTATTTAGATCATTTCTACGCATACAGCAGACGTTTAAATGCAATCTATTGTTCGACCATGTATTTAGTCTTTAAAGGCGTAGTCACGATGTGGTAGGCCTTGTTTTCAGGAGCCACATTGCTGAGATTTTTTTTTTTTTTTCATTTCCAGGCGTTTGTTTGCGAAGGTGGATTTTCTTCGGGAACCGGTGTAGGAATGCTGTTACTCTATGCAGGAACAATTAGCCGGGCAACCTGTAAGTATTGCCCATTTTCTATATGTTCCTATCCAATGAGTCCACGGTGGGTATACTAGTACTGATAACTTTCAGTACTAGTGTACCCACCGTGGTAAAGTAAAGCAAGCAACTATCAGACGATAAATAAAACGTTGATGGTCTAATAAATAATTTACTGCTGCATTCTGTATCGTGTAATAAAGCATCATGGATATCAATAAGAACGTTATGTATTACGTCGCGTTGTGACCATACGAAAATTCTAAGGATTCAAAAAAGGATAGACAGAAGGATCTATCTAGAAACTACGAAGTCAGACCAGCTTTTGAAGCCTTCGAGCTGCTTAGAGCCGATACAATCTTGCAAATCTAGCAGCTAAGATTGCTAGAACAATTCTCGATGTGTTGTTTTTGTAGGATCAAAAGAACATTAGATCACGCTTGCACGCAAGTCTCACAGAGGACTCACGTAACAAACGGTCCTACGCCAAAGAAGCTCGGAGTACAGGAACAGCTGGGACCAATTTGACGATCTCAATGTCATTTGCTTTAGCAGAGTTTGCCCGAGTAGTTATTTAACATTTATAACGTCGCAATATGAAAATTCAAGGTCACTAAAGCGACCGAAATTAATATTTCAGTTGTGTACTCGAGGACTAATTACGCGAATCACGGTCCCTTCCTGATTAATGTTATTTCTACTGTTTTGGATTACTAGCAGCCTGTCATGGGTACTCGATGATGATCATGTCATCTCAATACGTCACCTGCGCAACGTGCCACCCAAATCAAGCAAGCAATTAGCTCAACGTCTGTGTCACGACAACAGCTCAATAGTGAGCCTGCTGCTGCTTAATAATCAGCTAACCCAATTTCAGGACACCGAGCAGCAGCTGACCTCCGCAACAATGTCGTTGTGAAATTTCCTCTCGACTTCCGACGTTCTGCATCGGTCCTGAGCTAAGGGGGAAGGCCGACAAACAAGCTGCGAACGTTTGCCATGTCTAGCATAATGAAGCAGTATTGTCTGTGCGGGATTTGATCCTGCAGATCGTGCTGGCGTTTTGAGAATGTTAGGACGACTACTATGCCTACCTCGTTATCTAACGCTAATATTTAGATTAGCTTATAAATGTTTCGCGTCTTACGTTTAAGGCTTCCAAAACGAGACCAAATAGGTCTACTTTCAGTTTCGAACATATACCACTTCGCTTGTCTCCAAGTAAGCGGCTAGAAATCCTGGTACAATTTCATATAAAGTTCATATGTGAAGTCGGAGCGACTGATTAGAGAAGTGGTTTTTATGCAGCTACCGGAGCCACACTCGTCCTCTAAAACAACTGTCGAAATTGACTTTTTGCTTACTAAGAGAATACCGTGGTGCATTCGCAAGCTAAAAACATCGCGCTATTACTAATAGGAGCTGACTGTCCCAAACAAATACGGCCCGCTTTTTTTCTCCGTATATTCTCCATTAAAAACAGTTGTTTCGGCCTGCTCACCAGTTGAGGATCAACTCAATATTCTACGTTTCTAGATACATTTGCATAAAGGGCCAATCGATTATCGAACTTAACGTTTATTTAAAACGTTTGATTGCTATTAAGACACGTCAGCATTTCCGGTTCGATTGACGGTGGCGTTCGTGATGTTGGTGGGACTCGTTCCGAGCCGTCTTGCGGATGAGCAGGAATACCGTCTGACCCGTTACCTAATGAGCAACTATGATCTCGCTGTCAGACCTTCTGAAAACGCTTCCCTGCCTCTTCAGGTTAAAATTCACGTCCTCTTGCAGAAAATACAACAACTGGTAAGTGACAAGCTTATTTTAGTTGAATCACTTAGTTGTGCTCTTTATAATAAATAAAAGTTGCCTCTTTTTATATTGCACAAAGCACAGTTTTTATTGCGTAGAGAGTGCTGGTATTGATCGTATCATTTACTGTATTATTAACTGAACTTTGTCTAATTAAAATGTATTTTTTAGGAGTACGAAACGAACACCGTCAAAGCTAGTTGGAAGGTAATTCAGGTAAATGTAATGTTTGCTACATACTTTTTACATTATACAACTTATTTACGGTAATAAGTACTTGTCATTCAAACGATTTAGTAAATTATAACAAAAGTTGATTTTGTTGACCGTAAGCTTTTTTTTTTTAACGTATGCTGTATTAGAGCAATTCGGTTGGCCGTCAATCTATATATACAACGCACCTTGACAGGATTTCCGAAAGCATTACGTATCGTTGTATTTTAATTCCACAAAAAAAAGGAGAGTGTCTGATCAGTCTTAACCCTAGTTTATGGCTTGCCGTTATGACGTTATTTTTATGCTCATATAATTATACACATAAAGCTGTACCTGACTAGACAGCCTTTAATAGAGATCCAATTCAAGGTTTCAGCAGAACAGATTTAATGATTGTGATCCTAGCTTAATTGGTCCTGATGCCCTTGGTTCTGCTTGTGAAAAATAGCGCTGGAATGACGCCCACCTTCGGTGGAATGCCTCTGATTTTGGAGGTATTGCGGTACTTCGAATTCCCTCCAAGCAAATCTGGAAACCTGATGTCGTCTTGCTCAATGGGTAAGTCGTATGAAGTAGTAAAATCGACGACTTTTGAAAAACGTATTTGTCTGATCCAAGTTTCCATTGATAGATACATGCGGTCAAGTCGACTCTTTTCACTGCTAATGTGTCTCGAATATTTTGCTCTGATAGAAACACTGCGGAAGTACGGGAAAGCCATGCAGTCGTTCATAGCTCAGGAGAAGTTGTTCTCCTGGAAGAACGAAATCTTCATTCATGGTGTCACTTCGATAAGTTGCACCTATTCCCGTTTGAAGTACATCTATGTCGACTGGCCTTCGCATCTTGGGCGTACGATGCCTCGCAGGTATATGGATAGGTACCGACCGTTTTCTGATACATAACATGTGCCTCTGCAGTATCATAGATTTGTTGCTTAATGAGTAGATATTTAATAGAGAAGTGGAATCCAACTGTCGAGTTGGATAGCTATTTAAAAGTGTCTTTTGCTAATAAGGGTGCTAGCACTTAGTTAATTTCTACTAGAGTTAATATCTAAAGTAATAAAAGAAAAAACTTAATCATGGTATACGGACAGTACAATAAACGTTCACAAAAACCGGAAAATTAACGCTTCTGCACACACACACACACTAGTACACAGTATTTATTCTTGCTTCTATTAAAAAAAAATGTAGTTTACACACTTAGAAGTGTACAGAATTCTTACTACACAGGCTATTTTCTTGAGCTATACTACAAACGATTAACATACATTTTAATTAACTTTCATCCAATAATATCTATCCTCTGTTGGATGCGTTTCGTTCATTTTCAGTGTAGGGGTTATTGGCAAACCCATGAAACGATTCAGATACACCTTAGATTATAAACATGTTTTCCTGAAGTACCAACCTAAATATGACCAGTTGCATTGCAGATCACCATGGACGCCCATTCATTCGGCGTTGACGGCGAACTCTTTGTGCCATCACTCGAATTTGTACATGAAGTGAGTTCCTATCCATCGTCAACCTCTCTTTCCTCGTCCACTTCATCCAGCTCATCATTTTCTTCCGCTTCAATAATATCTGGTATTGACTCAATGGCTCGCTCGACGGTTCAGCTCCAACTTAGGCTGTATAGACGCAGCCCTTTCGGCCAACTGCTGTGTCTTCTTCTACCTGTTGTGCTGGCTAATCTCATGGCTGTTGTGGCATTTTTTGTGCCAGCGGCTTCCGGCCAGAAGCTCACCATATCGACACAGAGCCTACTCATTCTCTGCGCTGTCCTCGTCTATATGCATCGTGCGATGCCAACAATGGCCGAGCGGGTGCCCCTTTTAGGTAAGTGGCCATGTTGTAATGGCCGTGTTTGCTTTTTCGGTGGTTAGGCGGGCGGGAAAAGGTTTTTGAACAGGAACGATTTTTACTTACGCTACTGCTGACTAAGGTAGTGTGGATCCGTTAGGCATGTTTCCTGCTCAGCTGTTATGACCCAGTTGCTTTGACATGCGCGCGCGCACCCACCCCCTCGCAGTCTGCACTGCCGGCAGCTGTCATCGAAGCGTTACCGTCTCCCGTTATCCTTACATCGATACAGATCCGCCACTCACGCCGTACTACTACTACTACTACTACTACCACTACGTCGCCTATTTACAGTGGCCACTCTTGCTCAATCTAATTCTGTTTATGATGTTTCTCTCTCTACTTCCGTTTCGGCAACTCAATTGTTACAGTGATTTACGCAGCGTGGTCAGCTGCGGTCGTCGCTGGATCACTCCTATGTTCGGTACTAACGCTCAGTATCCACAGTCAGTCGGGCTGCCGTCTACGACCAACGCCAGTTCCACGAGGCTTCCGCCGTCTTGTTAGAGTCTTTGCTAAAATCTTCGTAATGGACTGTTGCGGAGTACAAACCTCCGACGCTACGTACTCACCCAAGAGAGAAAAATCTCCGCTGGTACACACAATTATTTATCTGTGTATCTTTCCTTTCTAAAGTTACTATCACTACTTATGTGGAGTTTCCGATTTTAGCAAACGATCCAATAATAAGAGAGGCACTTAGATAACAGCTCTAGAATATGTCGGCTAGCATAAACAACGTCATATCCAATCGGTGATCAGCTATTTGTCTATTCTTTAAATACAAGCTTTACTTTGCATGTAAAGCGATACGCGTTTAGTTGCCCGATGACTAGAAGAGCAACAGGGACCAACTGCCAATTTAGATGGCTGAAACTATTGACCCTCAAATGTTGGAGAAGGATTACTTTAACGCCAGTATAAAATGCGTATCCTTAACGGCCACAGAAGTGCGATTATGCCTAAATTGTGCTCAAGTGGTGGGCTACTTTGAGAGTGTCTATGCCCCTGCTTGAGTTAATAACTGTACCAATAACCTATCGTGGCTTGTTTGTCATACCACTAGGATACTCCGAAGGCCCCCATGGAATTCACGACGGACCATATTGAACATTACAATTTCTCACCATCGCTCCGGTCGCATCGAAAACAGTTTCTCTTCGACGCGGCGGCACCGGCTACGGGAACTATTGCGGGAGATAGTACTGGAGGTTGGACACAATCATCTCAGACGTTTCTCTTGCAACTGAATATATAGTTATTGCCGTTGTCAAATCGAGCTTTGAGTTTTGACATGAAGGCTACCATTTAATTACCCACCGTGATGACATTCGGAAGTGCGTTCTCCAAGGCTTTGAAGCAAGATGAAATGGAAACAGCTTGGTTTTCTTGTTCTTTTGTAACAGTTTTTTGTCGACATATTTAGCTGGAACGGGTGTTCAAATAAACGATAGAGTGCGCATGCTAAAAAATCCCGGCTATCCTTGGAGAGTATATTTACCAATTACTTAGCTGTATCCATACATATGTTCTTGTATCCTTGGATTGCAGTTGGCGTCGGCGGACCGAGGGGAGGAATGAGCGACGTTGGCAGCAGGGTCGGTGAGTGTGGGGCCGTCAGCGATCTTGTTGGGCAAACGATGTCCCTTGTTTGGCAAGCACAGGCTCCACCGATGTCAAGGTTAAACGACACGATGGCACGCTTTGATGAGCGTCTTCGTGAAGATGAACGTCGACGTGATATTCGTGAAGAATGGAGAACCCTGTCGCTCCTGTGCGACCGTGTGTTTTTAGCCGTTTTCTTCCTCATCTCCGCGCTCACCGCAGCTTTTGTGCTTATCTGTTCTTCGTAATAGGGGGCAGTACAACGAGATGGCGCAGTGTAGGAGCCAACTTAATCCAATAGAATATTCGCCATAGAGCAAATAAGAACAAAAGCCCACGGTATCATGTTAAGTTCGGCAGGACCTCCTAACGAAATGAGATCAAATAAAAGCTTTGCCTAATTGCAGCATAAAATAGGTTGTTCGTTTGGAACAGGTTGGCAAAAACATATTGTCTCAACGATAATAGTAAGATGAAATTGAAGAAGACGTTTATAAATTTCGCATTTAAAAATTTTTAGAAGCCTTGCTTTACATTCACTCTTTTTTGTACTGCAATGGAATAGCTGCTTGGAACGAATGGCAGCGCAGTGAAACCCCCTACACTAAACTACAATGATGCGTCCGAATGAATGATCAGATGGCCGATCAGAAATAAGGGACGCTGGTCCGATTAGTTGGTTTCCCTTATCAATTATATATAAACAATGTCTATATTATATAGCAATGCCAGGTCTACCCTTACGTTCCGCAGAAATTTTCTTATATATCTTAATACAATTCTTTAATTTCCCTTGTGAAAATTTCGTCTTGTAAAAAATCACATAACAATAATTACGTTAAGCTACGGATTACTTGATAACCTTAGATTTTTAAGCCCTAACTATGAATTGGGTAACTGTGGGTAGTAATGAAACTTTTTCAGAATAATTTTCCTTTTAGATAATAGTCTTAAGTTAAATTGTAGCAACGGTCTCAGGGAACGTTGCACAGATAATATACAAGACACATAAGATAGTTGTCAGAAATCTAAAAAATACTAATGCTGTTGGCGTAAGTTCTAATAGTTAAAACGAAGCGCCATCTGAGACCAGATTTTTGATGTACATTCTGATGAGTGGTACTCTAATAAACTGCTAACTAGCTGACTCCTTTCCCTGTGAGAACGCAAACGATAGATGCAGAATCTTAGCAAAAATAAAAATCATATACGTATAAATTATGTAACTGTATCTATGTATATATATACATAGGACAGGTCGAAAACATGCCGATCGGACAAAGTTCTGAGCATCTAATAAGACCTGATTAGACGACAACAGATCTACAGGTAGTTAGGTTGTTTCTTATATGTTAGCTATATATTATATGTCCATTCAAGTGATGTAAAATCCGTGGAACTGATATGTTGTCCGACAGTCGATGATTGTATAGTTCAGCTTGAACCTCGCAGGTGGAACTACAATTGATTAATATGAAACTTCAAAATGGTCGTTAACAGCTTTTTTTTTTTTTTTTTTTTGGGCAACTGGACGAGTTTGAGCTTCGGGTGTTTGAACCGTCGATTGATTAAGGAAGCTTTTTTTTTTTTTTTTTTTTTTATGGTTTGGATGAGGGTGGCTGGGTGGATGCAGATGGCCAAAGTAAGGAAATCTAACGTAAGTAGATAAAATTAAAAAACATTGCAGGCTATATGAATTAATTATAGGAGCATGTCTCGCATAGAGCTCATACGTTTTAGAAGAAATTCATCTTCTTAAGGCTTAACTTATAACAGTAGAGAGTAATAGTGATAGGAAATGGATAATGGAGACGTACGTGCATAGACGAGTGAGATAGCCTGCAATATAAATTGTACAGAATAGAGTAGACGGTTATTATAATTACTATTTAAATTGATTAGGAGATTGTTACACTCAATTGAAATAAAAAATCCAAAAATATGACAGTCGTTATCATTACTAGTTGGCAGGAAGATAATGATGAACTCTTACTAATGATACGGCATTCATCTAAGTTCTTCACCTATCTATCGATATAATCCAGCCTTCTTATATACCTACACCGTCATCCATAACTAGCATAAGGGTTGGCCGTATATATATATATATATGGGTACTGGCATTACTATTTCGGCACAACTTTGTTCGTCTCCAATGGTTTCAGAACGATGACGGACAAGAAAGATCTACATTTACTCTTCCGCCCACATCTTTATAGCCATATCTCGCCACGATTGTTGCGTTGAAATATACGATACTATATCATAATAATTTTCGGCGTAATGAATAACCAGCCGGTAAAAATAGATCGACGATCTTGTTTTATAAACATCGTTTTAAACGTATAAAAATATTTATGAGGTTTTTTCAACTTGCTAAATTGATCCCGCTCCCTTTCAAATCCTTATACTTTTGGCAAGTTCCATCGAAGTAACGTAATCATGACCGGCTGTAAATGAAACATACAATAATAATAACTAGATGACTCAGAAAATTGACCTCGTGTGATTGAAACCATTTTTTTTTTAATTAGATTCATCGTTAGTTAGTTGCTGCAAAAGCGTCGCTGCCGAGTTGCAGTTTGACCTTTAAATAACCTAACTATACCTTACGATAACGTATGGCGAGATTTAGGCCCTGTTCAGGTTCTAGAAGTGCAATTCGATCCAAGGTCTGCTTTTAACGAAAGCAGGTATATACAGATGGGTTCAGGCCACATGTTAACTGTTACCGTTTAATATAAATCGATGGCAAAATTGACACAGTGGCCTTTTTTTTTTTTTTTTTTCTAACATAAGCAACACTTAACAGCGAAAACTTTTCGATTCGACTATTTAGCCCGTACATTCTCATGCATATTTCCCTATACCAATATCGGCGGTTTAATATAGATTCGCATCCGCTTATTGTTAGATTGAAGAGCCGCTTGCTTTAGTAAACTACCGAGAAGATCATCGAAAGGCGTAATAAAAACCAAAAGTATATTTTGTTGAAATACGATGTTTTATAATGATGTTAGTTGCTATGCATACATGTATAAAATAGTAAATTTCAAAAAAAGTCCATTCACGATGTTCCTAAATAACCATAAAAAAAAAACGTTTATTGGTGTCTGTAAGAACAGAGTACGCCTAACACAGGCATGCGTCTCCGTTTTGGATAGATGTTTTTTGCGATGCGTACTTTTAGATATGATAATGATTACATTGGCTTCGTGCTCGAGCGTCTAGAGCATATTTCATTAGAGTATTCCGACAGATCATTTCTCAGATAGACCTCATGTCATCGTTGTGAGTAGCTTGATGTTAGAAGCGTAGATAACGTTTGACGTTGGAAGAAGGCAACTACTAGCGGACAAAAACAATTGATTAATTATCATAGACGACCGCCGTCGACCTTTTCGAAGGAAGGAGGCGCTTCCATGTTTTCTTATCGGTTGAGGGTTTATTTTTTTTGAACAGAAAAAGTATTTCCTGGACTACAATAGGCAACGCAGTTTTTTTTCCCCCCATTAGACAGCGTAGGGATCACGCAGGAGTCCAGTTGTGTATCACACATGGAACATATACTTTACGGTTGATATAATAGCAGTCGCCGTTAGCTAATGCGACAGAAAAAATAACACTGCCTTGTTTATCATTTATAAATTGTATGGTGGCTCCTACTACTTGAACGATTGTTAACGATACGACGGGAACTTTGTGTTTGGACCTGATAGACGAGCAAGCTCATGCCAAGTTATACCTTAGAAATAGGCCCGTAATCACGTTTGTCGCACAAACTAGATGATGCATTACAGCCTAACTAGTTCGAGTATATTTTCGAAAAAAAAAAAAGGAAATTGCAAGTTCCTGTTCCTGGCATAGTGCCGGTACCTCTATTCTTGGATCAGGGCTATCCATAGTCTGCAGGAGTGAACAGCGCTATCCAAATTCTATATATTCAAGTTTGACGAATCCCTATATGCGAGTGAGCTGATCTCGACCTCGGCAAGCAACACTTCAATATAGCAGAGTTTAAATGAAGAGAAAGTACAATTTTACAGCAACGAAAAGTTCTAATTATACTATGAAAATGTCAGTCTAGACGATCAGTAAAATACATGATCTCCGGGCTTAATGGACAATGGATCCAATTGTAGAGAATACCGACCGCATCGAAAGAATATTCTTTTAAAATGCTATTATATTTTTAGAAGACTTAGCTATCGAAAACATTTTTTTTTTTAGTATCGGTCCTTTTATAAGCTCCTTATGTTATGCAACGCTTAGATTAAGTAGCCTCAGTCTATAACGTAATCTGTAAGTAGCTCTTATAATCCTAGCTGTAATAGCTCTTATTCGGGTATTAGTATTTCAAAATAACAGTTTTTCTAACAAACATAGAAGCACGTGCTATTCCGTTTTTATATATCCAGTACTATCTGTCCTAGCGCATTTCATTATTATACTATTTCAGCTGAAATTTGTTGTGATTTTATGTTTGTACTCCATGGTGCAATTTCCGAAATAACCAAAACTCTCCGTTTACTGTTCGTATCCTGTATTGAATGAAAATTATTTGGTGCCATCTTTTTCGAAATGGCGAGCGACGACAAACGGCGTTTGTAAGCACTACTCTTTCTGCCACTGTATCTACGAAAAATTGATTTAACTTAACTATCCTAAGGATCCTATCTCAAAATCTTACAGTATTATATTTTCTCCTTCTATATTGGCTCTTTAAGGCTAGTTGGACTAAATGGTACATACAACCAGAAACTTTAGGCCTAAGTTTCTGGTTATAAGAACAGACCAAGACAGTCGACAGAACAAGACGATAAGTTCGTCACCATAACAAGTTAGTGTTCCAGGACACTTTTGGAGAAGTCGTTGTCGACGTCGAGAAGATACTAAGAATGCTAAAATCGCCAATACTTGGGCTAGGACACTTGGCCACAGCTAATAAAAGATGTATGGTGTAACTCTATCAGGGCACACTGGCAGTCAAAAAACACGATCAGTGACGAATTCAAACAGCGTTTGGGCTTAGCAAGTTCAGAATTGTTTAAACCCAACAAATTGAAACTGCATAATGCTAGCTCACACAAAAACTATCTAGCAACACAAAAAACGCTCACAAGATACCTAGGAAAAATTGCGTAGGCCGACTCCCACGTCCTGCTCTTCAACTTGACGGACAACGCCAGTGTCCACAAAGGAATACAGTTGTGAATACATTAGTTAAGCAACATACGTACACTAGCGATTGCGCACAAGTTATATAAGCCTTGCTCGTTCCAGGACCACAGAACCAAGAATCTATCTCGCAACCTCCTGCTTCATGGTCTAATCCCGTATGACTTGGATCGTCTGATATATATGA